CCGGCAGCCGCTCGGTCGGCCCGGCACAGCAGGGAGGGGTTTTCCTGGAGGGTGAAGTTGCTCGTTGCCTGAAAAACTGCCGGCCTCGCAGTTCAGCACTGCGTCGTCCCGGGCTTCCCTTCACAAAGCCAAATGGCGAGTTTTATTTTTTATTTTCACTTTAGGCTGCAAATCTACAAAATGCTGTAGGATATGATACGGAGCAGGCTGACGTTACACAAACTGAAAAATATTTTACCCGAGCTTCCCCCCCTCCCTGCCCAGGAGATATTTCTTTCCTTTTCTTTTTTCTCCCTTGTTATCCAGTGACACATAAGAGTATTTTCTGATTAGTGCCCTCCAGCACTGTAGCATCTTGCCGGCAGCCGCTCGGTCGGCCCGGCACAGCAGGGAGGGGTTTTCCTGGAGGGTGAAGTTGCTCGTTGCCTGAGAAACTGCCGGCCTCGCAGTTCAGCACTGCGTCGTCCCGGGAGCTTCCCTTCAAAGCCAAATGGCGAGTTTTATTTTTTATTTTCACTTTAGGCTGCAAATCTACAAAATGCTGTAGGATATGATACGGAGCAGGCTGACGTTACACAAACTGAAAAATATTTTACCCGAGCTTCCCCCCCTCCCTGCCCAGGAGATATTTCTTTCCTTTTCTTTTTTCTCCCTTGTTATCCAGTGACACATAAGAGTATTTTCTGATTAGTGCCCTCCAGCACTGTAGCATCTTGTCCAGGGCTGAGTTAGCGTTAAACGTCTTCTGTGCTCTACAGATCCCATCTCCACGGTCCTGCCAACCTAATGGAGCCAATGAAGAAGCCCTGCGGTATGAAATCAAAGAGCTGAAACAGAAGGACCTTGCTCTAGACCAGGAAATTGCACAATTATTGTCTGAGTATGTCCTTGGCAAGCTCATTGTTCACTGTGATGCCTCAATTGTTTTTGTTTTTAAAACAAAATATGGTCCAGGAATTACAACTAAAAGCTGACCTCTTATGATGCCATTTTTATCATGGTGCTATACAATGTTGATTACAGTGTTGTTTTGAGTTATGGGACCTGTTAAAGACGAGGGAATTCTTTCCGGTTTATTTGGTAAAGCAAAACAAGTTTTACTAGGAGCTTGGATAAGAGGATTTTAACTTTACCCCAGATGTTGCAGAGGTAATTATGTGTAAACTGGGAACGAATAATTTTAACCATCATGGTACTACAACGTGTCATGCTACCAGAAGAGCTTGTTCATATGAGAGTTAAAACTGAGATCATGACTTGTATGACCTGCCAAATATAGTCCCAGATAAAACTGTTTCCTTTTTGTTCCGTCTTGATCGAGTGTTCACTTGTTTTGTGTCTGAGGCGAGTGGGTTAAACCTTTGTGTTCCAAGAAGCAGAGGTGTTTTCCAGGCGAGCAAGTGGCCTGATGTTGTGGTTTAACCCCATCCAGCAAGTAAACCCCACCCAGCCGCTCGCTCACTCCCCCCCGGTGGGATGGGGGAGAGAATCGGAAGGGTAAAAGTGAGGAAACTTGTGGGTTGAGATAAAGACAGTTTAACAGGTAAAG